GCAAATTTAGTCATGCAAGACTTAGAAACTAAAATAATAGCAATGTTAGGCTTTCAATTGCAATCATTGAAAGGGCTCAAGCACTAATTTCGGATTATCCAAGGCAATCGTTGCGAAAATTAGCATCGATTGTTGATGTAAGCGAGTCAACAATGCTGAGGAGGACCTTCGATACAAATCGTACATTAAAGATACGACGGTTGCTCACCTCGGCTCCCATTCTAGCCTCCCAACAGCCCAGGTTTAAATCCCTTGAACTACTACGTGTGGAACGTAGTTGAAAGAGTCACAAACAAGTCTCGATATCCCAACGTGACATCGTTAAGGACCGCTCTTGAGGCAGCATTCATTGGCATGGACAGCGCCACATTACAGATTACAGCGTGCGTGCGAACGCTTCAGACCGAGAATAGAGACCGTCATTCAAGCTAATGGGGGATATATCGAATAATTGTGCTCTACAGGGATTCCCCAAGTGCCATGTAAAAGGATTTTTTGTAATATTTAATTTTTCATTTAAAAAATTTTGTTTAAAGAAATTGTTCGATTTGTCTGGATTTTGGTGACGCACCCTGTATTTATACTGTGTGCACTGACAGCATCGCAACCAATATGGTGGTAAGATATCTAATCCAGCTAACTATCCTGCAGGAAAATAAGCATCGTGTGCCGCCGACTTAAGTACAGATGACCCTTCCTTATCGCACTGCTTCGTGTTGACCGTTGCTTTGTTTTCCCAAGGTTGCATTTCTTGGTTTAGCCGACCTCGAATCGACAAGGGTACGTTTATTAGGCTCGGCTGACACCGATGCAATCTGATGTATAGCATGCAGGAACGAATCTACAGATTTTGAATGTAAGGATACTGCTATTTTTCTAAAAGATCTTCTATCTGCCATTAATTAAGAGATGGACTCTTGAGATTGATACTCAAGATTGTGCATGAGCGTAAGTTTATCCATTTGCGTATTCCAAAAATGACTCTTTGAAGAAGTTTCATTTTCTTCCTTCAATTTTTTGTAAAGCTACGTGATAACGAACTTTTTTCGAATCTAAGAATGGCTTCTTTAAAGCCTAATCATGATTCTATCATCGCGTTCTACATCCTATGTCGTATCACCTCTAGCTATGTTTGCTAACCTGGATGTAGCTGCTAAGAGTAACGTCGTTCGGAATCTTGTAGATCCGGGCTACCTGATCGACCGGGTTATCTGATAAATCCAGAGCTGGACATTCTCCAACTCCTTGTGATTGAATTCAAATATCTGCGACGCAATGAGATTGCATGGGAAGAAGATATCGATGCGAGAGAGCTTCATCTTCGATGAAATGGTGGCGAGGAACTGAAGCTACGAGGGATCACCGACTTCTGCATCGGTAAGGTTTGTTTCAACGCTGTTGATTAAGCGGAAACGTTCTGAGTAATGAGAGCCAGAAGCATCTGCTGGAACACTGCTTGTTGCGCCTGCTGACTCTCCAGTATTTACTGCTGCATTTGTTGCAATGGGTTAGTAAGAGACTAGCATTGCTATGTTCATTAACATTTGTTGAGTCACATCGACTCGAGACGATCCTGCTGCGACGTTTTGATCGTCTTGTGAGCTTGCGCCCCTTAACATGTTCGTGAGGCCGTTACGTTCCCTATGTGCTATAATCGCATCGATTAAGACTTTCGAATCCTCACTCAAAGGTAAACGATAACGTTCTTTTTGCAGCTCGGCAATAGACATTTTGTCAAAATGCGACTGATACATTCTTAGAGTCTCTAAATGTAACTGCGAGACTTCAAGATGGACGCGACACGTGGCAATTAATTTTTTGCTAATGCGAATGATCACTCGTTAATTTATTCGTAATGAGGAAAAGCGAAGGAATAATTTCAGGAGCGACTTAAATTCAGAGAAGTGGGAGTGAATTCCAGAGAAGTGTGGATGTATCTCATTTCTGAAAACTGTAAGGTGATTGAGATTATTTGGAGAATCTTATCAGGTTTTCTCTCAAGAAAAGTTTGATAAAAACGAAGGAATCTGGAATCAGAATAATATGTCGGAATGACTTAGGAAATCGTGCGAATAAAGTCCTGATATTGTAGCCGATCACTGACTTTATTCGTACATGATTCGTAAGAGTACAAAGACCGAGAACAGTATAAAAGCGTTTCGGTATGTCTCGATCGAATATGTTCGCGAAAAGCGAGAAGAACCGATGCTCCGTTAGCATGTGCTCCAATTATTATATCTGTGTGCTTCGTTTCTGGAGCATGAGCGCCGTAGTTCTGCTGAGCGAATTAAAATCAATTAAATCGAATGTAATTTAATGATCGAATGAGATTTATAGATGTCGCCTAAATAAAGACTTGGTTATCTTCGGTAATTTCTTTTAATAATTTCTTACATTATTAAATCGGTGATTATTTACTTCGCCTCCTATAAGGCGATATGCTTAAAATGATCAGAATAACATTACAAGAAAACTATACGGTCAATATTGCTCAAATTGTGGGATTATTTATGTACAGTATTTATCTACATCTACATCATATAAAAAAATTAAGTTTCTAAGTTGGCTTTCGACTAAAGGCTGTGGCATACAAAAAATTTAAGGCAGTAAGACCTAAGCAGTAAGGAAATCAACATATTGGCTACTGTTTATGTTATGGCCACAGTATAAAGATATACAGTAGGGACAAGATCCTGTTTTCCATTCAGCCACGCATATTTGCTTACGTATCATTAGCGGCCATGTCTTTGGAGCCGATCAAAGCAGAGAACCCACAGTTTCTCCGTTACTGCAATCGCAACAATGACCGTAAGACGTAAACTTAAGCCGATGAGTCAATCGGGATATTCCTTTAGGTCTATATAACCGGTTGAAATTCGCCTTATTGCAAAGTTATGGATAAGTTTACTGTTATTTCCATTTCTGTTAGATTATATAGACCTAAAGCAATATCCTGATTGACTCATCGGCTTAAGTTTACATCTTACGGTCATTGTTGCGGAATTTTGTATGCGGCAGCCCTAACAGTCAAATCTCCTTAATCATTTGCACTTCATTGTTTTCTCGTCACAAAAAGAAAAAATTTTTGTATCAAATAGCAACCGGCGATTAAAAAATGGATTTACTGATGATAATCCTAAGCGTAAAAAATCGTGGATAAATTCAACCGTCGACATCGACTCCAAAACGCAACATTGAAATAAAGTTTTTGTTGTGTATTTAGTGAGACATGAAAGCCGCATTTGTTATGAGCTGTTGAAATCAAATCAAACAATCACTGCTGAGCGTTATCAACAACAATTAATCGATTTGAATTATGTTTTGAATCAGAAAATTCAATAACAGCTCAAAGAAAATGCAAAGTGATCTTGTTGTACGACAATGCTCGACCAAACGTTACAAAATAGTTAAAAATACATTAGCAGCATTTCAATGGAAAATCTTACCATATGCCACGTATTTATTAAACTGTGTTCTTTCGGATTATTTCGATCGATATAGCACGGCCTTACTGATCACTTCAAAACATATAATGAAATAAAAAAATGGCTCGATGAATGAATTGTTCCGAAGAACAAATACATTTATTACGGAATCCACTTATTGCCAGAAAAGTGAGAAAAAATGGCTAACGATGAAAAACATTTTGAATAAAATATAATTTAACGTCTCTCTAAAATAAACGTATTTTTTTTTGGCAAAAAATCCCTCAAAACTAACCGGAACACTTAATAAATATTACGACACACACACACACACACACACACACACACACACACACACACAAATAAATAAACTCCATTTTTTTTTTACTTAAAATCAAAGTACCGGTTATAGTTAAAGGATAACGATTGCTTATAGGAATTTTCTTTTTCAGTTTATATTTTATTTGAATGAATACTCATTAAATCATAATCATAATCATAATTTTTTTTATGAATAAATATTTTTGGAAACCTAAAATTTTGACTGAATATGATTACATTTTTTTTAACGTGAAAATGTTGAATAAATACAATTTACAGCTCAATTACAAATTTTTGTGTTCATCGGGTACACTAGTCAATCGTAACATAGTCAGATAGGATGCTCTCAAAAATCGTAAATCTTTTTCTTTGATGATTGTAATGATATCGATATTATTCATGTTGTTTTGTTATACCAGGAAAGGTACTGAAAAATAAAGTTACTTTTTAACTGTAACAGATTATTTTTTAGAATCGGTAATTAATTACTTTTTAAAAGAAAAAAAATGGTAATTGTAACTAATACTTTTACAAAGTAACTATTCTTGATATAATTCATGCCATAATACCAATTCTTGGTATTCTCTCAATAATAAAAAGATGTCGTAGACATTACTTCCGTCACAAATAATTTCTTTCTAGCATACAGAATACATAATTGTAAAGAACACTTCATTTAGTGACTAATGTTGCAATAATTAGTGGTTTCTTGTAATATCTGTTTAGATACAAGAAATGATTAATCTGCTGGGTTAACTTTTTTAAAAATTTAAGTATTAATTGATAATATTACGCAAGTATAAAAATACTAAGATAAATAAAACAATCTTTTACATGTAAATATGCAACTGTGTAAATTTTAGTATTCTCACATATAGTATTTACAGAAATATTTAAAGATCAAGAAAAAAGAAACTAATGAGATATTCTCTAAAATAAAATTTCATTTATACGCCAAACGTATATTCACTGACAAATATTCATTACATAATCATATTCGTAACATGTATGATACTCTTAAATTAAACAGAATTACAAATAATTACAATATTAATATTTATTAATTAAATTAAAATTTATTTTATAAATTTTAATTGTACGAATTAGTAATTGAAATTTCGCATGTTAATTAATAATTTATAAATGGTAATAGAAACTGTATATTCTATTTTTTTTTGTCACAAATCATTACGAAAATAATATTTACTTATTTCAGACAAAAGAGAAAATTTCTATAGCTAGATCTTCTAGATCTTGTAAGAAAAATCTTTAATTCGAAACTTCAATAACAACCTTGTGTACAATATTAAGGTAGAATCTCACGTTCCTTGGCACGATATAGTGATCCGTTTTGGTTCGCTTAGGCTCATTAGAATCAGTCCCGAAATTGATATAAAAAAAATCTAAAATTGTAGTCCTATAGCAGTCCCACGACGATCTCACAGAGCGCTGAATCAGGCTTACCATATAACGAGCTATGGCTTCACGCGGCGAGCCTTATCAAAACAGAGTGCCTCGTTATTGTTCGCCTTAGCTCGCGACTCATGGATTACCGCTTTATCGAACTGGTCGAACTGTCGATAAATTATGCGAGTCCAAAGGGTCGCCAGGGCTCGCGTCTTGACTAAACGAAATAATTATAACTGCTGTGCGTTGTTGTATCACCCAATTTCTTTATGTTTGCATGTACATCAGAGCTTATTTATTATTATTGGTCGAAACACTTATTGAGTTAAGATTTTTTGATCGTTCAAGTCGTAGTATAAAATAGGGGTAGGATGATGAAAAAATTATCGAATCTATAATTACACGAAAAAATTTATATAAAATGACTTTTTGCAAACATTGATCACGTTCAGCCGAATATTTGTTTCGCTACTGTTAGAAGTTTCTTTCGCGCTGATAGAATTATACTTTAGATCTTCTGTAGTCTTATATTAGCGAAGAAAATTTTCAACATTCGCAAAATAAGCATTCTATTGAACGCGATCATTGACGAGCCCAACAACGCAAAATGTCTTGTCTATCACGAAGGCTTCTTTGACTCGCAAAACTTACCGGTATCTTCGAAAACGACGTGTCACGAGCTATAAACCGCGATAACAAACCATCCTGATCCGCGTAGAGGCTTTCAAAGTTATGATGAGACATGGCGAACAATGCCGAATCATTCTGAGCTACTGGCCGTAGGATCCTACCTTTGAAATAATCATTTTAATCACAAATACAAACTAAAATAGTTTTCTTTAAACTTATAAAAAAAACTTTCATCACATTAGAAAATGAAAATTTTACCTGAGTGACATTACAATGCTACAGCAAATTGATCTTTGGTTTAAAACCTGTATCAGACTAGAGATTGAAATTGGATTGAAAGTTGATCAATCAAAGCAAAAGTCATTAAAACTTGAAATTAGTTTTCTTTTTCTATAAATAAATTCCAGTCCAATTTTAATCTCTAGTTTGATATGAACATAAGTCCCTTATTTTAGACTTGAGTTAATGCAAAGTGCAAAAATTGAAACATAATTGCTATAAGTCAAACGTACGACAGATCATTGGTTATTGTAAAAGCCCTAAATTTCGTATAAAGAAAATATTCGAAAAATTTTTCACTTAATTATAGACAATTTGTTTTGAATCCATTCAAAATGAACTGTCCATAGCTAAATTAGCTGATGAATTTTTACTATCGGGAGATTGCATTGCAATGTAGCGTCTTCGTAAAATTTCCTGCAAATCATTGCATGGACTATTCTCACGTTTCACCCGCATAGGATGGCCACCTGGAGACCTATAAAAGATCAATATACAATCTTATTTTATTTTCTGAGAGCTCTCAGTTCTTGTATCACTATTAAACATTGAATTATAGTTTTACAAATAAGAAATTATGCTTTCTAACATTATATGTGAATAAAAAATAATAATTTTTTTACATACATTCACATTCAATAAATATGATTTAAAAAATATAAGGTGTACAAAAGTCCCGGATCTCTTATCTTGATAATTAAAATATCTTGAAAAGTAAGCATTTTTGAGAAAAATGTTTCATACAAAGTTGTAGAGTTTAAAATGATCAATTTACTGATCTTGTCAATTTAATCTTGTGGCGCTATCAAGAACAGGTCAAGGTCAAATCGATTTTTTTAAATGAAATATCCTACTCTTTATTTTAGAATCTAACAACTGATATTAAAAGCTTTTAAAAACACTATAATCCTTTTTTTAATTAATACTTTTCGAATTATGAGATTTGAAAATTACAATATCGTCGATATTAACATTACCTAACGTGTATTGCATAGAGGTTGTCCGGTTGGATTTATAAGTTATGTATATTTGCGCGCGTTTCTGTGTATCTCTCTCTCCTCCTTCCTTCTCTTTCCTTGTAAAATATTTATTCAAAATACTAATGCTAACTGAACAAGAACATATATCCTTTTTAATGATGCGAGCTTGGGATGAGATCTTATACACAAGTGACTACTTATCAATAAAAAGATAGGAGCCACTCTAACCTTTAATATCTTTTTCCCAGATGTCCCACTTCTCATCACAGATTAAATTTTCAAAAAAAAACAACTTTTTAACATTAACTGTTATCTAAAAAATTTTGATTAAGACGAGAATTACAAGGATTTAAAACCAGGATTGTCACAAATTCCTCATCCTAAAAATCCATAACTTTTCCCTGATTTCCAGACAAAATTTCATGATTTTCATGCTTTCAATATTTTTTTGAATTTTTGTACTTTCATCCTGATTTGCAAACCATCAAATATTTTGTTGAGGGAGCAATTTAATATAGTAATATAAATTACTATTAATGTTGCTAACATTGCCTGTATTTTATTGTTAAGTTAGTAATATTCCAAAACTGCGTAAATATGATGATATTAAACTTTAAAATCAAGAATTTTCGTTTTTAGAAAATTTTATAAAAATTCTTGATTTTTCTTTGATTTTCTTGAACGTTTACAATTTTCCTGACATTTCCCTGTTTTTCTGATTTCTAATTTTAGCAATTATAGCAACCTTAGAAACAGAAAAGTGCATGGGTTTGCTGGGACTTAATAAGTTAATCAAGATTTACAATTATTTATTAATCGGTGAATTAAAAAGGACTTCACAACTATATTATAAATCTATTCTAATGCAAATTACAATGTATTAAAAAATTGTCTTCAACTTTGTTTACTACAAAATTTATCTATATAATTAATCTATGATGAAAGTTTAGATGAAAGTTTTTACCAGAAATTTTATATACAAATATTAATCTCAACTACCTTGCAACTGGTCTTAATTTTACATTATCGATATCCTTCAGCATATCACCCGTCGATTTCTCACTCAATAGAATTTTCTTGCGATCTTCAATTTTGTGATCTTGCAAACTAGCCCTTCTCGCGATATGAGGTGTTGTGGGTGGTAAAAATGGAAGTGGAAGTGGTGGTGGAGGTGGAGGAGGAGGTGGTAGTGGCACTGACAAAGACTTTAGATTATCTTCTCCATTGGGCAGAGACGCTACAGATGCATCTATAAGACAAACATGAATCTTTAAATCTTTTTAGATATTTTTGAGTATAACAAAATATACTTCTTACATACATTTGGACAATTTATTATTTTTCACAATTGTTGAAATTTGTTCTCTAAGCTCTTGTAATTCTTGCTCTAACGCAAGCAATCGTACTTCTGATCCAAAACTAATCGGCTCGAACAGATCTGACCTGTTGTCAAAAAAATTATTAGTGTTACAAACTCAATTTTAAAAATATTATAGAATAAAAAAATATGGACATATCTAATTATACAGAGTATCTCAAAACCACCGTATATTTTCATAGCGTATTTTAGAGATAGAGTAAGAAATCTTAATACGAAAATGTCGAGAGTACAATAGTTTTAAATTATAACCGATTGTATAAAAATAGCCAGTAGAATCGTATAAAATCCGAGCATTTATATTGATGCGCTTGTACAGGGTGGGCCATCTATTGGTACGTTTTTAAAAATGCGATCAAATGAGCATACATTGATATTTTTTATTAATTTTTTTGTTGTTGTGAAGCTAAAAGTATCCGCGTCAAGAATGAAAAACGATTTCGTTCATGTGGCTCCCTCTACTGGCCTTACAGTATGCCATTCGGTCACCCCAATTATTAATGACATTTTGGACTACCTCGGCGTCAATTTCACTCAAAACAGTCGTAATATAATGTCATCCACTAACATCCCTTTCTCACGAACTTTCCTTGCCAATTTGCGTATAGCTCCTTCGGTGGGTGCTCTATCACGACCCATATTTCTTTTCAAAATTCGTACAGTTTCGGCGACACAGCACTGACTTTGAAAATAAGTTTTTAAAATTTCAAAACGCTCTTCAAGAGAAAACATGTTGTTTCGTGCCGCGGACGGTATGACTAATAAACTGTCAAAATTTCGGGTCTGTAGCTCGTTCGGTGTTGCCATACGACGAAATTCAAAAACGTACCAATAGATGGCCCACCCTGTAGTTACGCATCGATCTGATACTACATTCACGATTAATATTAAATTTTTTTTATTACACTGATAATTTATATATATATATATATAACAGCATTTCCAATTATTGTTATTAAAATTATTAAGCCACAAAAATTTTACGCTTGAGAAACAACATCAAAAATAATTATAAAATTTAATGTGTTGCTTTCTAACACTTTTATGTCTTAAAACAAAGAAAATCGTGTAATTATTAATTAATTATCGTGTAATTGTGTGTTAATAAATCAAAGAAATAAGATTAAATTGCCCATATTTTTATAACAATATAAATTTCCATTAAAATCGCAATATCTTGATTTATGGAAATTATACATTTTACTTCTCTCAGGAGTTGAAACTTGACAAAGAATATACGTTGAAAATGAAAAAAAAAAAATTAAACAATTTTAACAAATCTACTTTATGTAATATCTTCATAAATCTATTTTATTTTCTTTATGCAGTTTTTATTTTTTTAATGCGGAATAATAGATTAGACAATGGTCGCATTCAGCCGATTCTGTTGCGAAGCGGAAGATATATATATATATATCTTCTGCTTCGCAACATACCTCTCAATTTTCCAAAGCAAGTGTTTTAGTCAGTTCGACCACTGAGGCTTCGGAAATATTCTTTGCAATAACTGACATGTGAGAAAACGCGTAACCGGGCAGCGTATTTTAAGAAATAAAAACCGAATTAATGTAGAGATTTACAATTAAATCGCTGTTTCATATTACATAGTTCCTACTGATTATCAATGTGTTAAGAATTAAATTTATGAACTTAGAATATTATATTATTCGAAACTTCCAACTTTGACCGATTCTTAAGGCGCTCTCTATTGTTATAATACATTAACTCGATCGATTTCTATTTCTTAAAATACGCCGCCTAATTATGCGTTTTCTCGCTATACATGTTATTGCGAAGAATATTTCCGAAGCCTCAGTGGAACTGACTAAGATATTCGTCCCGGAAAATCAAGAGATTCTAGGTTTGAATCCTGGCTGAGATATAATATTTTTCGCAATAAAGTTTCTTAAATATAATATGAGATCTAGACTTTAATGAATAAAATCATCATAAGTAATCATGCCGACATATGCTGTTGGTATATATGTATTTATTCATGTATATATAAAAGATTACACAAACATTTCGATCCTTTGTTTAGGATCATCTTCAATGCTATTCCAATTAACGCTTTCGTCGCGAATGCTAAGAATTAAGAATTAAAACTAGATTTATAATTCGCTGTTTCATATTACATAGTTCCTACGAATTATGAATGTGTCAAACCGTAATGCGTCCAATATAGATCCCCATAAAATTGACAGATTAACTAATAATAAATTAATTACATATATAAGTACATAAAGTACAGGTTATATTTTAACAAACTTACATGTAACAAACTTAAGCTGTTAGACTGTTGCTATGTTAGACTGTTGCTATCCGTTCGACATATGGGTCTCGTGTGAGGATACGATAAACAATCGATGTTTTTCGTGCAAAATAATTATTGTGAAGAGGGAGAAAATCTCACATTCTAAGTAATATATCTGAGTATGCAGAATCTAACAAATTAATATCATTTTTTTAATTTAAACCATTTTTTTGCTGTTTTATATAAATCATTTCGAATATAAACCGCCTTTGTAAAAAACTCTCTTCATCCAAAATCTTTACCTCCTCCCAATCAAATTCGTGCATTGAATCCAATCTATGCTCCGTTATAACCGAATGTTGGATGTTCCAATTTATCCGGTTCTTATGTTCTTTTATTTTTAACATTCTACTCGTTTGGCATGTATGACGCGTCACAATCTTTACATTCAATTTTGTACAATACATTTGTATGTGACCATTTAGATAGTTTATCCTTTAATACTCTAATATATTTACTCAAAAGTTTCTTATTTGAAATAAAAAGAGAATTATATTAGGTGTACAACTTTGCTTCCGCTGTTTTCCTATAGATGGCTTTAGCGGTAAGTGGTGGTCGAAATAAATAGATCATAGACGTCATACAATAAAATTGGGCATCTATCAACATAACCCCATAGAAACATTAGTCGATTTGTGTCTGCATCATAAAGTTATTCTCGATTGAAAATGTCAGTTTCGAGCCAAATTCTCATCATTTGCGGAAGGTTTTAATTTTCTGCTTCAATGTGAAGAAATCTGCTGAGGCTCATCGAATGCTCTCAAATACTTATGATGAGGCCGCTATTAGTGAAAGAACGTGTCGTGAGTGGTTTCAACGCTTCAAGAACGGTGATTTTGACGTCGAAGACCGGCATAGCGGTGGAAGAAAGAAGGTTTTTGAAGATGCAGAATTGAAGGCATTATTTGATCAAGACTCGTGTCAAAATCAAGAAGAATTGGGAGTGACTCAACAAGCCATTTCAAAACGCCTCAAAGTCATGGGAATGATTCAGAAGCAAGGAAATTGGGTGCCGTACGAGTTGAAGTCGGAAATGTTGAACGGCGTTTGTTTGCTTGTGAACAGCTGCTTGAAAGGCAAAGACGAAAAGGATTTCTGCATCGCAAAATGACTGAGGACGAAAAATGGTTTCATTACGATAACCCCAAGCGCAGAAAATCATGGGAAGTTCTCCCGGCCATGCTTCCACGTCGACGACCAAACCAAATATTCACGGCTCCAAGGTCTGTATTTGGTGGGACTAGCTCGGCGTAGGGTATGAACTGTTAAAACCGACTGAAACAATCACAGGCGATCAGTATCGAACGCAATTGATGTGGTTGAGCCGAGCATTGAAAGACAAACGGCCGCAATACAACGAGAGACACGATAAAGTGATTTTGCAGCATGACAATGCTCGACCCCATATTGCGAAAGTGGTCAAGACATACTTAGAAACGTTGAAATGAGAAGTCCTACCCCACCCGCCGTATTCTCCAGACGTTGCTCCCTCTGACTATCACTTGTTTCGATCAATGGCACATGACCTGGCTGACCAGCACTTCCGGTCTTATGAAGAAGTAAATTGAATAAAAATTGGATCGATTCGTGGATCGCGTCAAAAGATGATCAATTTTTTCGACGCGGGATTCGTACGCTGCCCGAAAAATGGGAGAAAGTAATGGCCAGCGATGGACAATACTTTGAATCATAAATGTATAATCAATTTTTTACAATAAAGCCTCGAATTTCGGAAAAAAAACGGCGGAAGCAAAGTTGTACACCTAATATATGCTTGCGACTATCCGAACGTTTCGACTCACGATTATTAGCATCTCAGATTGATTGTGTTTTAATGTCTGAACATTTCGGCGCACAGTCACATTTGAGATTAATTAAATTCATGAACTTAGAATATTATATTATTCGAAACTTTCAACTTTGTCCGATCCTTAAAACGTCTTATTGTCACTATCGTTAATTCACGACAATGACAAAACAATTCTGAAAAAAAACAGCACTCATTGACTGTCAATAGTTAACGAAAGCAACAATTGTCGATAAAACGTTTAGAGAATCCCGCAACTGAACGCAAGGATTATTTAGCGATATATTACTATCTTTGATCGGCTATAATTCAAAAACTATTGTAGTTCCATTTTCATATTAGTATTTTTTATTTTATTTTACCTCTAAAATACGTTATGAAAATGTTGTACGGTGGTTGTGAGACATATAACTTAACAAAACAATATACTGACCTTACGGGATATCCATTTGTATCAACATAATTGCTACTAGTTTCTTCATTAATCATAGAATTTGTCATCAAGTGTAATGGTGTCACACTAACATATATTTTTGGCGGAGGCTTCAATGGTAAAAAAGATCCAATTCTCCTTACAATACTTCTTCTTTTACCATAATATTTAATATCGCCCATCTGTAAGAAAAAAGATTAATGTTCGAAATTTTGATATAAAAAGTTTTTTCAAGATATGTGAAGTAAAAATTCGGAGAGAGAGAAAGAGAAAAAGAGAGAGAGAGAGAGAGAGAGAGAGAGAAAGCGAAAGCAAGAGTATATTTATACATCGTAAAAACGTACGTGGTTATAATTTTAAAACGTATAAAAAGAAGAGCATAAGAAATCACCGCACAAGTTATAGTTTGATATTTAATTATTATTACATTAATTAAAACATTAAACGTTTCGACCACAATCAGTATATTTATACTCAAGACTTAAAATATTATTGCTAACTTTTGTCATAAACCTGTGATAAAATACATACATGGTTTCTATACACAGAGATATAAAAAATATTTATTTTCTAAATTACAATTATATTATTAATAATATCAAAGTAATTAATTACATTTATATTTAAAAGAAGGAAGTAGATCAAGGGCTCGAATAATTAAAATTAAAACAAATAAATAATAAAAGGGCTATGAGCCTAGCTAGATGTTCGTTGCTAACAATTCAATTTAATAATATTCTTGAGGCTTGCACGGGTGCTTTCTATATGAAGATTATGCGTTTCGCGGGTTTCCTCCGTGTCCAGATCCATTCTTGAAATACCAACGTTTCGTGAACCTTGCAGTCCACTTCATCAGGACGAGGACCAACCTGATACTGAGTTGCAGTTCCCCTCCGGGCAGTTCCTTTTTATATTACACTACTTGTTGGAGTGGTGAGGGAAGGAAGAGAATTGTGGGTAGGAGTAGAGAGATGGAGGAAATTGGTCAGTCTTCAATAACCGGGAGAATGGTTTTCCATATTTTATTTATTTAGCCATTATCTCTATTTAGATTGTTAGTGTTTTTGTATCTCTATGGTTTCTCTATACTTTCTTGGAAAGTATGGTGTAATGTTGGCTATTGTGGTTGTTTTGTCAAACAGGTTCACGAAAGTTCTTGGCATTCCAAGAATGGATCAATTGCATGACGTGTTTTAGTCTGACACCATGTTGGTGTTCTTTTATCAGTAGGTTGACCATTCTCTCGGTTTCCGGGATGATAGAATCATACAATACTTGAATAGTTATCAGTACAATATGTCATTTTTCTAGTAGAACTTACAATTAAGGATATACACCCAAAAAGATCAAAAAGATGCATATTTTTATGAATTTTTTTTGCGAAAATTATTAACTTTATTCAAACAAAACTTTGATCTATATTCTATATGATCAATGACTTATATGTATATATTTAGGTAAGTAAGTGTTACATAAAACTTTTAATTAAAAAAAAACAAATAATTTTGTTTAAAAAATTATATTTTTTATACAATAAGATTGGAAACAAGACCGTTTATATTAAATAACATTACTTTAAATACGAAGCGCCGCTACGGTCTGAATGTTGAGATGTTGAACTAATATATATAAATGAATTAATTTCAGAAATAATAATTGGCCGCTATTGCTGACCATCGATCAAAAACACACGCGAAAAGACATTTCACAGCAGTGTTTGTCGATGCTTAAACGCAATCCACAAGACTTTTGACGTTGATTCGTGACCGTAGACGAGACTTGGATCCAACACTACACACCCGAGTCAAAACAGCAGTCGAAGCAGTGAACAATACCTAGTGAATGTGCGCCGAAGAAGGCTATTTTGTCGACCGGGAAGATAATGGCCACTGTTTTTTGAGATTCCCAAGGAATCATCTTCATTGACTACTTACAGAAGGGTCAAACAGTCACAGGAGCATATTATTCTATACTTCCGAATTGTTTGTACGAAGAACTGCGAACGAAACGGCCGAGATTGGCGCGCAAAAAATCGTCTTTCACCATGACAACGCTCCAGCTCATATCTCCACAGTCGCAATGGCAAAATTGCAAGAATTAAAATTCGAATTGCTGCCCCATTCACCCTATTCTGATTTGGCCCCTTGTAACTTCTTATTCTCAAACCTCAAGCTAGAAAGAAAGAAATTTTCGTCCAATAAGGAGGTCATCGCTACTGTGGATATATATTTTGAAGGTCTCGAAACTTCTTATTTTTCCAAAGGGATCAAAAAATTGGAACACCGCTGGACTAATTGTGTAGAACTCCAAGGAGACTACGTCGAAAAGTGAAAAAAAAATTTCCGAAAAATAGGTGATTTTATTGCTGACTTATTATTTATGAACGACCCTCGTACATAAATGTTATGTAACATTTACTATAAAAAATAAAAAAAATTGTAAAAATTCATTAATTCTTAAGTATCGGTAATGAATATTTTTATAGAGTTTTATAGAGTAACTTTCCCAACTTTCTAATTAACATATATCCCTTATGGAAAAAAACTCAAATCATTTGAGCGTTTACACTTAATTTAGAATTATTTCGGATGCTGAACTTGAACGTTATCCTCAATTTGAGAGTTAACTCGAATGTTACTCTTAAAATTGTATTATTTATTCTATAAAATTATTTTATTCAATTTTATTGCTAAAATATGTATTATTAATCTGCATCATTTCGAATTTTTCACACGACAAAATTATAATTAAAAAAAAAGCTTTCCCTCCATTTGGAAACTAATTTCCTCATTTTCCTAAGCGGTCACCGATCCAATCTTGTACTCATCCAACGGTGCTGAATCTCTGCAATCGTACGGGAACTGCTATTTCGAAAAGAACGTCATCCATTCAGAGAGAATTAAGGGAGAATGGAGCACAGAATGCTCCTCCTCTAATTGGTTTCGTCATTTATAGTTCACTTCTGCAAATATATGCATGTGTATGTACATATATGTTACACACAATACTAATGCAATATAATACTAGTGTGTGCAGCATCGTATGTTCCATCACGCTTCTACCATATTTCCTACTCACTTCGATAGTGCACTAAAAATCTGCATCCATTTATTTGCCTCTGACTCTACTCGTGTTTCTATCCCCACCACCGGTCTATAATATGGGTGCTTATAGAGTATCTTATCTTTTAATTCTTGTTTAACATTCGATAAACAACAAGGATAAAGAAATACTTCTGCGTTAACTGCTGCGTAAACGAATGCAGGGTATATGTCGATGGTTACAGCGCCTCACCATGAAAAATAAATGCCCGAACTTAAGCGTGGAAAAGTGACATTTTGACGACGAAATTTGTGTTGCATGCCATTTCGTTATTATTTGCTTAATTGTGAAAATGTGATTTGTCTCGTACTTATGAAAGTCTTAAAAATGGCCAGAAACTATCTTATCTTGGTATTTTATATGTAAAAGCATATATTTCACTCGTTTCAACAGCTGTTAAATCGTGTGTTTTTATCCGAATATAACTCACTTTACGTGCCTTTTATGACCATTTAATGACTATTTATGACTGACTATCATGGGAAGAAAGGACAATTTTTGCTCATTTTTAAAGCGATCTCATCATTTAGATTTGTCCAAATTGTCTTTATTTACAAATGGCATGCAACATAAATCAATGTGTCATTTCTCTAGAGTGGATATAAAGAGAGTGGCGTCAATGCATGTGTCTAATGTTGATTGGCTCCGCCTTATTATTAGTTAGAAAGAAGACAACGTTAAAGAAAGAAGAAGTTAAGATGAGGAATTGCGTCATATAGATGGATGTAAAACACCAAAGCGACTTCCAGCTAATTGGCGTCACTCTTTTTATACTCACTCTAATTTCTTGCCTATGACGTCATGATTCCGACGTGGCCGCCGCGGCTACTCAGGAGCATTAAATAAAAACTCATTAAATTTCTATATAGCACGGATGTCTAAAGGACGTATTTCTGAAAAATATTATGAGAATGTCCTAACGTTTTGAGAATGTTCCTAGGAAAATCTCTAGGATAACGTGTGTGTTTTGGGATAACGTGTGTGCTATTTGGGATACATACAATTTATTTAATAGATTATTTATTAACAAGATTTGCAATTTGCAAAAAGATTATATCAATCATGCTCTTATTAAAATGTTTTGATAAATCCTTTATGAAAAAGTACTCTTAAAATTGAATGCTAACCCCCAATTTTGGACATTTACTCTCAAATTTGTGTATACTCTTAAATTGAATCTTTACATTGCAGATTAAGTTTCTTTTTAATGTTTGAGTGTTTATACTGAAACATTAAGTTAATATATCCAAATATCGAATGTTTATATTTAAAATTGAATGTATACATTAAAAGATTGAGAGTGTACACCCAACAACTGAGTGTTCACATTTAAGTTTGAGTGCATACACTATAAACATTTAAAAATTTACTCTCAACGCTTGAATTTGACACTCAATGTTTCAACTAATAGATGAATAATAAACCTTAAATGGCTTAAACTTTGAGTATTATTTTCAAAATTGAGTGTTAAGAGTTACTTGAGTGTTAATCTTTTTGATTGAGTACATATCAATGCTGAAATGTTCAATATGGACACCACAGAAAATAGTATATTTTAACTAGACATGAAACGTCTTTTTAATAATATCTATTGACCAGATATGTCACAGTTATACATCCATTAACGTTAAGAATTCGTGAATTTGCTAAGTCTAATGAGTTGAAGTAGTACTGCTGGATCAACAACAATTAATCAGGCTTAGTAAACAAAGAAAGAACATTCATCCATTTATCTGCCTCTCACTCTACTCATATTTCTATCCCTACTATCATCATCGGTAGTCCATTCAATATGTCGATAGCTGTAATACACACAAACACGAGTCCATGTACATGCGCTCGCTTTCGGCGCACCGAGAGCACATGTGCAGCCGATCACAGAAAGGTTGCAACACTTTTTTTCCGATGGATTTCGAAATACACCCTACTCACCAAGCGATTAGTTCTTATTTGTAGAAAAAAATAAGAACCAATCGCTCGGTGAGCAAACTGCATTCCGAAACTTATTGAAAATAAAATGTTACAACCTTTCTATTGTACATGGGCTCGTACGTTGTGTGTATGGCTACCGGTTTCGCTAGGCCGCCGTCTGAATCTATGTCGCCATCGTCAATGCAAAGTACTTGACTAAGTACTCAGGAGCTCATTTTCACCAACGTAGATTAACTTTAATCTCGGTTCTTACTCTTCGTCTTTTTCTAGTTTTAAAGAAGACGAAGAGTAAGTTGAACCGAGATTAAAGTTCATATATGGCTATAGCCCCTATCATGATCAAGTCGAATATATATTTTTGTAATTTTTACAACTATTTTTGTAAAAAAAATTTTGACAAAAATCGAAATTTAATTTTCGACATGACGTCATTTTTTAAATTTTCAGTTTTTTTTCGTTCTGGTACCTGCTACAGGTACAAACTCATACAAACTAATTAAGAATTTCTTTTTTTATCATTTCAAGAAAAAATTCTGGTAAACTCAGACAACGTCTAAAATCCAGACATAAGACGTCTTGAACTATCTTGAAGATGTCTTATGTCCATATTTTGGACGTAATGTTATCTAAGTAAAGGGATTATATAGAAGTCGTAGATGATCGTGGAGTGTTAAGTCGTAGAAAATCAATCAATCACAATCAAATATAAAGAGAATATTCGATTAAAATTATAAGTTTCCTACGACTTAAGACTCTACAACTTCTATGTAGAGGACCCTTTAAAGCCTCAGCACAATAATGTCGTAACCGAGTGGCGAATCGTAGTCATATATCAACGCACAATATTTTGGCGTATCTGTATGTGATCGTATCGATCACATTACGCATCGATCTCTTGTGATGGTAACATGTCTACATCAGGTCACCTTTGGTAAAATTACAAATCGTTAACGGTTTAAGTGACATAATTACATCATATAACTTTTCAAATATTTTAATACTTTAGATATAAATTATCAATGCATATGTAACGAAATAATGTCTAACAAATTTCGAAATGATTAAAATACATAACCTTATATGTCCTTCGTACATTAATCGAATCAGTATATATGCAAAAATTTTTATTTATTTGCAATGTTGTAATAATACAGTTGTTAACAATTGTAACAATTATATATTGTTAATAACTGTATTATTACAACATTGCAAATGAATAAAAATTTGTTATTTCTTGTTTCTGCCAGATTCTTTCATTTACAAAATCGCGTCGAATAAGCCTAATTTTATTGATTTTGAGATGTTAAACTGTATAATTAAGGGAGACCGCGGGGATAGTTGGTACATGAGACAGGTCTGTTTCTTATTGTTGCTCTGAACTAGTGTACACGATACAATAAGTTGAAGTGAAATAAACATATATTTGTAAGCAATAAAAAAACACCTTAATGTTGCACTTAAAATTGCTGCAAAATCGCAAATGATAACATTGCATAAAAAATATAATATTTTCATAAAAATATTACGGTCATGCTGCAATAAGTTATTTCAGACTGAATTTCAGAAATAAAAAATATTTTCGGTTTGTCATAGCCAAAAGTAAAATAAATCAGTAATATATAATATTAAATGTTATATTTATTAATCTGCTCATATCATAATTTCAACTATTTCTATAGAACTTATTTTATAAACAATATCTTACAGTTATATTAACATCTTAACATATATTTTTTGCATAAGTAATAATTGAAACACGTAAATATGACACCCCGGGATTAATTGTGATGGAATGTGTCGTTACAGGTGTAACTGCTTCTCCATCGTCACATCTAATCTCAATATAACCTATTGTAAGCATAATAGAGGCAACCAAATGATAATCTTAATGCTGGATTACTAACTGGATTAGAATTTTGCCACTGTATTAGCGATGCTGTCAGTGAGCATTGCAATCGATACGATAGCAAGATTTTAATCCAGCTAACAAGCATCGTGTGCCGCAGGCTTTACATAAATTTATATTTTTATTTTTGTGATATATATAAAAAAAAGAGAAAACTGTTAGGTATATCATAAATTATTAATGTATACGCATTAATGTCAAACACATTTTTCTTATTTCAAATTTATACAAGAACATTATAGTTATCAAGCTGTTAGATTATTAAAATCATGATGTATTTTTTCACAATCAACACTATTAGATCATGGTAACATCTTTATATTAAGTAAATATCTGAAGAGGATCTAATTCAAAGACCGAAACATGTAATAGCGTATTTTAATTATAATTGTTTAGAATATAGTATATTATTTGTAATATATATATATATATATATATATATATATTTCGTTTTTTAATATATAATATAATTTAATTTGTTATTGATTCTTATATACCCTATTGTTATATTTATTTTTTATTAATATCAAAAGTCCTTTATTATTATTGTAAATTTTAATATAATTTTGAAATCTGGATATGTAACAAGTGATCTCAGTAACTGTAACATCCGATCCCGCATATCCCGGGGTTAGATGTTACAATATGCATGACCTTATTAATACTAGAAAGTTAATCATATTATTAAATTATAAAAATAATTTTTGTGTAGCAAATGCATGTGGCTATTGTAAAATGATCTTACGGTTTATATTCTATTTAGTTACATGCAAAAAATTTCTTTAAAAAAACTATATCAACTATCCCTAATCTTCCCAATGTCTCCGAATCAAATGTATGCAAGCTAATTTTGTTATTTAAACAAATTTTATTATTGTAGTTTATTTTTATAATTATTAGTTGACTGTATACTGAGAGATTTATCATTATTATTTATTATTTACACTTATTTTGCAAGTAATAGATTCGAAATTTAGATATTTCAACAATACATTTCCAAAAAGCAAAGCGTGTCTCAGCAAAATCGCACAAATCTGTGATTGCTTATGATGCTGGCAACTTGCTACTTAAGTAAATTTGTCTTCAACGATTTCGAATATACCGACATTGTAGTAACATGCAGACAATGTGTATATGTATTGCCAGTAGTTTAACAGCAAGATAGCTGCGTTAATGCTATCTTGTGTTGTCGGCAATATGACAACAGCATTGTATAATGCTGCATATAGCAACATGATGACATAGTACGAATTTTGATGATGACGATTTTAAAGTTGTCGGCAAATTGCTGGCAAGTTGCTGCTCAATATTATCATATCATGAAGGCATCAAGTTGCTAACAAATGAGGACTCAGTTACTACAATTCTAGTAGCAACATATATTTAGCAATGCATACTTAGCAAGAAACAAAACAGACACATTGCTATCTGGATTAGCACAAATTCCTGTTACTTTTAAATAAAATATCAATGACTGCGTTCAGCAAAAAAAGCAGCTTTGCAACTGTTGTAAAATTCTTGAATATTTATACATTTGGTTAGTTTATACATTTATAGTGAATTCGATTGGACGTATTCAGTGAGCACGGGTGCACATTAAAGCCGTCATACACAAAGTAACATAAAGATGTTTATAAATAAGCAGATAAGAAATTGATAAAATCGTGAAATACTCAATACATTTTATTGTATTATTAAGTAAAATATGTATTTTATAATTTGAAATATTTGCATTTTATTTTTATACTCAAATGAAATCAGTGTACAACGAGTTTAATATGCATCAGTACACATTAGTGCTTCCAATTGAAATCTCCATTAGATTCAGTGAGGAACTAAGAACAAAACCAATCATATTAAAAAAATTTTATAATAATTGCAAATAATTGCTCTTTCCATTGAACGCAACATTATTATATATGTTGTTCCACTACCTTAATCTTCTTTCAACAGAATTTTTTAAGAAAAGGCAGAGCAACAAATTTTTTTCTTTGACAATTTTTTAACAACAAATGAGCAACAAATAAATACTATTAATTTGAATTGATTCTGTTCATTTTGTTCCATTAATTTATAAAGCTTCAACCAAGTGTCCAGGTTTTTCATCATAGAAGCCGGAGTGTTTATTTATTTTTTACAAATTTAAATTTATGTACTTAAATGCACAATCAAAATATTAATAGTATCTTTAAAGATTTTAGTTGCTAGCAGAAGTATATACATAGGTATATACATAGGTATTTTTTTTTAAACTAATATATATATATATATATATATATATATTCTTTGTTAAAATGAAATACATTTATGTTTGGCAAAAATGAAAAGAAAAGTTCTAGTTCAGTCCAATGTAGCAGTAAAAAATACAAACCCCATATAACTTATTATAGTAAATGTTAAATATAAAAACACTGCCCACAAATAACATAGCAACATCTGCAAAGTGCTAAAAAAGCATTTATATAACACATTTTTAACGCTTTGTAGATGTTGTATGCCACTTGGGTGATTTTTTAAATTACTGAATTTACATATTTATTGTATACAACTATACATTAATAATTTAATTACATCAGAAATTTTTGTATTACATTTAAGTTAGTAATACCAGCATGATAGACGAAACAATTATTATTTTAATAGGCATGTTGAGATAAATAAAATATCTTACCTTTATAATTAATTACCAGGATCTCGAAAATCTCGACCTACGTTGATGTAGAAGTAACAAAATCGTAATATACGGCGTAAATATTCAATAACGTATATACATCAGGGTGATCTCAAATTCGTAATAGTTATAAAATAGCTCGTTACATTGACCCAACGTCAGCACGATTGACAGGTAGCCATAGTATGAATCTGCTTACATAGGATTCCGAAAATAAACAGTATTTATTGCCGTTACTTATATGTTTTGTATCATACGATTGAAATGATTTTCATCCATTTTTCATTCATCTGTACATAACAACGTATATGTGTTTTTTACATGTACTTCGATCACTGTGAAAAAGAGGTTAGAAGAATCCAAGCAAAAAAATGAGAGTACAACGCAACTATAGGTTCAGTGTTGCCAACTCTCAAAAAAAAAAGAATAAATTAAGGGTCAACAGGGATTATCAATTATGAAATTTTTTTCGTAGAAGAATGAAAAGTGAAAAATGAAAAATTTCTCTAACTTAAATGGTTAAAATTTTCATTTTTTACTTTCCATCCTAGGAATAAAATTTCATGATTGATATCCAGGTTGTGTTCCAAAATTCACTGCCAGCGTTGAAAATCTAAGTTTACGTCATGTATACTATACATTTTCAGCGCTGGCAGTGAATTTTGGAACACAGCTCCAGGAGTGATAAGCCAACTTCATTTAGGGACTCCACACAGTAAAAGGAACAGAGAACAGAGAATAAGAATTTCAATCTATCAGAAATCATGTATCATGGAATACACAGTTTCTGATAGGTTGAAATTCTTATTCTCTGTTCTCTTGTTCCTTTTATTGTGCAGAGCCCCTTACACCTCATTTGTGGTGTATCTGCATTCTATTAGACTCTGGCTGCGTTCGCTTTGATGCTTATAGTACTTGTGAACATCAATTATTATCGTTTAATATTTAATAATCAACAAGGATAAAACGACGTTTGAAGCATTGTGAGCATCAAAGCAAACCCAGTCTCTATTACGTATTGTCTCGTAAAAAAAATTTTACCATGAAACTCATTCTGACTTATATTTTATAAAGTTAATATGAAGCCTATGAAAGAACTAAATTTTGCGATTTCATTTTTAAAAACATTTTATTAAATAATATGCTTCTTATTTACGATGCAAATATCTATCTTTATACCGACATTTTAGTATTGTTCGTTTTGTCTCTCGGAAGCTCGGGATCGCTCCGAATGAACTCAGCGTAATTGAAATATAGGGATTCACACTACGTTCGATATCCGTATGACATCTGACATTCAGGCCATATCGACAGCTGACACGAAAAATAAAGGTTTTATGCGCATACATACAATGGAAGTAAAAAGATGTGCTTATGCGCAAGCATTTTTTGCTGGCCAATGACAGAGCCTGACTCAACTTCACCATCTTGAATAATTTCTAACGGGAGATTTTTAAACGAAGAAACGCAAAATATTATATGCATACAATTAATTAGTCTTATTGTTCATACGTATCGCCGAAATTAAGAAAATTTAATAAAAAATTGCTGGTTAATACGCGTATTAAATATTCGATGTAAACAAAGTTAATAAAATAACATTAAACATTTGATAATTTTTGACTAATGAATTTATTTAGTATCAATAATTAAAATATAAAATTATTTTTAATATTAAATTATTTTATTAACATTTATTAACATTAAATTTATTAGTAACATTTATCAATATTTTTTAAACATTAAATTATTATTTAACAAATACAACAGTAAATAAATGTAGATTTAACATTTAAATATTTTTCAATTAGTAAATTTTGACATTTTTTTATCTAGTCATTGCGTATAGTATACAGTATAGTATACAATCAAGTAATTATGTCCAACAATATTTCTTTTGTGATATTCTAGTCAAAGGCATAGAAGACGGGTTGTTTCCATTTTTTAAATAAATCACGAACAAGAACAATCTGGCATCTTTTATGAAGTCCAACGGCTTTTTCCTTTTTTTTTTCAATTTGAATTAGATTTGATAAATGAATTTCATCAAAACAAAGAACCGCTGCTCTTTCTATCTCTGTCAAGCTTTGATTTTTGCCTTTCATTACTTACTAATAGAACGTCTTTTAAATACAGGGCTCAGCAAGATTTACACTTCTCGGCCGATTTTTGATTTGGTTCCGTCTTCCGCTATTCGCCTCAATCAATCCAAATGCCGCTCGACGTTTAGAAGCTTATTGGTTTCTGTACACTGAAACTTGCCGCGCGACAAGTTCCGCGTCCAGTGTGTAGGAGTCATATGACACTCATAGACATAAAGTCGCCCATCCGCTTTGAGTACTCATGCTAAATTTCATTCTATATCTTTTTTTTCCGTTTATTACATAACTAAAATAGAATGAAGTAACGCATAACGCTCAATCTTACGCGTTGCTTCATTCTATCTTAGTTATATAATGAACGAAAAAAAATAGAATAAAGTTTACAGCGTGAGCAGCCAAAGCGGGTGGATTTCATGTCTACGAGCGTCATACATACTCCTAAATGACGAGAAGCATTTGGACTGAGCGCGGAACGAAAGGTAAGAAGAATACAATGAAAAGTTTGAATAGAATGAACCTTTGTTTAATGTTTATATGAGCGTTTGCGGAAGTTCATTGAGAGTTTAAAAATGATCACTAAAGTATTCATAAAGCGGAAATTACAACATTGCAATGTTTGGAAGGCATTCTCTGAAAATAAAAAGTTTCATGAATGTTTGTTTGACATTCAGTTTAAGTGTTGAGCCTGCTGAA